TTTAAGAGACTGAGCTGAAAACAGCACCTCAGACTGAGGAAGTCTCTCGGATGAGAGACAAAACGTTTCTACATTTTTTTGTTGATTTGCTTTGTTTTTTTTGTTTTTTTTTATGTCCAGAGGACCAGATTTAACTTTTTTAGATTTTTCTACCTGGATTATTGAGCATGCATCGGGATATTTCTGTATAGTTTTTTTTTTTTTTTATGAGTATTTTGCTCTTTGTGACCCAGACTAAGAAGTTGTAGTTAAACTGTAATCAGAGCATGTTTCATGATTACACAACTTCAAAGCGTTACCTGATCTGCATGGTTTACATTTTTGCATAAAATAGGAAGACTTAACTATTTGTAAAACATGTTAACCAGCTGTGTCATGCACTGTCAGCTGTTTTAACTCTTCGGCTGAACAAATTCTTCTCACTTTGTGGAACACTGTTTAGAAAAGCTGTATTCGTGATGAGGTTTGATGCAGTTTTTGTTCATATTTAGGATTTTATTAAGAAGTCTTTAAGTGCCAACGTTAAAAGAAATGCCTCCAGCCCTCCTAGAACAGCGTGCAGACTTCCTGTCTGTCTGTGTGTAAGCTTTGGCATGTGCAGTTACTGAATGAGCAGGAATGTGTAGACAAAAGGTTGAGCTCTCTGCTTCACTTGGGAAACCTACATGATGTTTTTGTACACGTGATTTCTCCAGCCTGCAGGCAACCTAATTATCTCAACTCAACCATCGGCAGTGAACCGAGACACACACCGATGCTTGCAATACACACATGGGCCTGTACACACACCGCAGGCTGTGAGAGTGCCACTCTCCTCCCCCAGTGTGTCATGGAAGCTATTACTCTGCAGCTCACTGCTGCCAGTGTAGAGCATGGGAAGACTGTCTGCAGCACGCTCTGGCCTCGTTTGGGCTGTTTAGTTTTTGCTGCATGTCGTTTGAACTCTGTGAAAGTCTTTGATTATTGTATGCCCTTCATCTAACACTTCTAAGTTTTTTTTTAATCACACACAAATGGTTGTTTTCTGTTTCACATGGTCCCAGTGAATCGCTCGATGTGTCTTAACGTGTAGCTGTGTGGTCTCCTGGCAACAAACAAACAAGCAGAATGGATATGTCTTTGTTGAAAAGGGAAGTCTGGGACAAGACTGTGTGTATGCCACACTACTCTGCCCTGGTGTCATAATAACACTGATAATGAATGAGCTCTCATTCTCCCTCTGTCTTTGTTGCTCATAAACAATTGGGCTTCTTTGCTTACGTAATGCTTGTTGCTGAGGCTAAAGTTACCCCTTGCTTTTCTTTTTTTTTTTTTTTCACACTGAGAGGGAAAAGTGATGAGTTGTTGTGAAGTTGTAATTGAACGCTGATCCTGTCTAACCTCTAATATGATTTTTCTGTTCTCCTGCCACAGGATGCTCTCCCTCCACTTCCACCTCCTCCCCCTCAGGCTTCTGTTAGCGGAGCAGCGTTTTCGGTAGCTGCTGGACAGAGACCCTCCCCCTGCTCAGGCGACCAAAGCGGGAGACAAAGGCCTACAGTGTGAGTTATGAAAATGGTCCCACACAGAGTATTTTTCTGCAATGTGCAGCAAATGTCAGCTGTTGGTGCTCTGGTTGGTCTTTGCATGCTTGTACCACCCTCAGCTTAGCTGTCAGTGTGAGCCTGTGCACAGGTGAAGGGGTCAAAACTTTTAGGTGATGGTATCTGGGCTCCCTTTGAGAGATACTTTCTCTCCCCTCTGATTTTTGAACCCCCCCCCCCTCACCTTTACCCTCATTACTGCCCCAAGTCATCCTTACACACCTAATAAGCATTAGATCCTCTCAAACCTGTTCTCCTGCCGTCATCTGGGTTCTACATGTCAGGTTTGTGTTCCTCTCTACTGACAACACTGACATCAGGCTGAAACATCCCAGCTGAGGCTCCTGCCTGGCTGCCTGTTCTTGTGCGGCTGTGCACAGATGATCTGCAGCAAATAAACCTGGCTTTTAGTTTAAAACTGTCATGTTTGTTTGCTGTTTGTTTTATTTAGCTATGTGGCAATGTTCCCGTACACTCCTCGTAAGGAGGATGAGCTGGAGCTGAGGAAAGGAGAAATGTTTCTGGTGCTGGAACACTGTCAAGATGGCTGGTTCAAGGGCACTTCCATGCACACAGGAAAGATTGGAGTTTTCCCTGGGAACTACATGAGTCCAGTCAGCAGGTGAGGCATCAGCTCTCTGCCAGATTAACATCTTCTTAACTTCTTCTACACATGTTTACTTTTATACACATCTGTTTACACAGTCATAATGTCCTATTTCCCTGGTTTCTTTTTTAAAATTAACAGTTTTAATAATAAAACCATACCTGCATGTTGTCGTTTATCATATTAAACAGCTTTCGCTGGAAGGTGCTGAACCGCAGACACATTCCAGTGCTGCACAGAGTTCCCATAAAGAGCAGCTTCTGATTGCTTTGCAGATTCCTCTTTAGAAATGTGTTACTAATTTCTTTACTCGAGTTCAGCTCGTAGTCTGTAAACATTTTACCACAGGGATGTAAAAGTCATTTAAAGGTTTTTATTCTCTTTATGGTGGATTTAGACCTCAACCAAGGCGCTTGGTTTCATCAGAAGAGTTCTCTCATCTTTTTCTCGTTCTCATTTAAAGTCATATTTTTTATTTTATTTAAAAACATTCTATTAGTGATTACTAGTATAGGTTGATTAACATCTCTAGTCAAGTTAGAACTTTTAGAAAATAAAGCTAAGGCTGTGGATAATAAATGCTAAGTTGTAGGGGTGCTCATCTTACATGAATGTGAACCGTTTGAAATAAGAGATGCTACAAATCAATGCTCAAAAATGTTTTTGGACAGCAACTTTCAATATGTAAAATCATTAATGCAGAGTCACAGTTAAAGAAAATAACCCGTTGTGTTCTACAAGGCTCAATTCTAGGATCTAAAGTATTTATAACGTATCATATGGGTGATATTTGTTTTATATGTATTGTTTGTAGGGGGTTGTCTGTTTCTGGATCTGGTGCTGTTGCCTTCTTGGCCAGGGCTCCCTTAAAAAGGAGTTCTTATCATCTCATTTCACCTGGTTAATAACGGTTAAAACCATTATACTGATATTAAGATCAGTAAAAACAGTAGAATGTGAACTGGTTTTAGTCCAGTGATAGTTTGATGTCGAGAAATTCTTGCAACCTTTGTGGTGTAAGGAAAAAAAATACTTTTGGCAGCATGACGGTTCAGTGGTTAGCACTGTTGCCTCACAGCAAGAAGGTCCTGGGTTCAATCCCCGGTTGGACCTGGGGTCTTTCTGTGTGGAGTTTGCATGTTCTTCTTGTGCATGCGTGGGTTTTCTCCGGGTACTCCAGTTTCCTCCCACATACCAAAAACATGCATGTTAGATACTGCCTTCAGGCCCAGGTCTCCTTTGAAAAATAGATCTGTGATGTCAATGGGATTTGCCTGGTTAAATAAAGGTTAACTACAATTTTGACTAATGTAGCTCCTAAATTAAATGGTTTAAAAAATTATGAAAGAAAGACTTTAGTTATAATTATTGCTCATGAACTTTGTTGGAAAGCACATATAGCTTTTTAAAACATATCTGATCTGTTGGTATTTTGTATAGAGTAAGATATTTATTGGGTGTGAAATGTTGAAATGCCATATATGTTATATTAAAATGAAAGTTAAGGAAATGCAGATAAAACTAATTTAAACCCAATAATTAAAGTACAAAAATCAGAACATTATAGAAAGCTTTATACAGTAAAATGCAAATAATGTCTATATACATATTTATCATTTATAGATGTGTATTAAAAAAAATATGTTTGAACAACTCAGTCTTTTAAAAAAATTTATATAAAAACTCTTGAATTTATAAGGGTTGTGTTGCATATTACAATTGAAAGTTAGTAAAAGCAGTAAAAAAAGTAGAACTGGTGAAATAGAATGTGTTTCAGTTCTGGGAGTGAAATTATTGACCCGTTTGAGGGATGTGTTACAAAACTAGCTTTTCTTATCAAAAACTTTAAATCTAAAGTAAATCTGGGCTACATCCATCTATCTATACATCCATATTATCCATATAAAATCCATCAAGGATTTTAGTTCAGCAGTGACAGAGCTTAAATGGGGGGGGGGGGGTTCCGCAGGGGTCCGTCCTGGGTCCCCTCCTATTCTCTCTATACCTGCTGCCACTTGGTGCTATTTTCCGAAAACACAACATACCCTTTCACTTCTACGCCGACGACTGTCATATTTACTTCCCCCTAAAACACAATGGTACATGCTCTATTCAACCTTTGCTCGACTGCCTGGCTGACGTCAGGGACTGGATGGCTTTAAACTTCTTAAGTTTCAATGAAAAGAAGTCTGAAGTCATGTTGTTCCCTTCCAATGACACAATCACAAACCACTGCATCGACCTTTCCACTCTATCCCTGTCAGAAAAACAAAGAGTCACTAATCTGGGAGTGATAATGGACCCTTCCCTGAAACTTAACAATCATGTTTACATGATCATTAAATCATGTTTCTTCCAACTGAGGCGGCTGTCTAAACTGAATCCCATATTGTCCAAAAATAACCTGGAGACAATAATACATGCATTCATTACATCTAGGCTTGATTACTGCAATTCGTTCCTGTTTGGCATCAGTCAGACCTCCATTGCACGACTACAACTGGTCCAGAATGCAGCAGCCCGATTTTTAACCAGTACAGGCAAAAGAGAGCACATTACACAAGTTTTGGCCTCACGGCACTGGCTACTGGTTCACCTTCGAATCCAGTTCAAAATGTCTACAAATTGCTGAACAGTTTTGTGCCCCCCCCCATCTCTCTGATCTGCTACAACCGTATGTCCCACCACGTTCCCTGAGGTCAGCGGACCAGTTGCTCCTCACAGTTCCAGGAACTCGTCTTAGGTCGTTTTCACACCAGATAGTCCGGTAGACTCGGTTTGGTTCGGGACCAATATTCATGACATTTTGTTTACATTTGAGCTGGTGCGTTTGCATTCACACTGCACTGTGCAGTCGAGTCAACCTGTTGAACCAACCTATTCCCCCGCTCGCCTGTGGGGGCGCTGCACCAAGAACTACTGAAAGAAACGACACAAAAACCTCTGAAGACACGTCTTCTTCTTCTTCTGTAAATAAAAATAAAAATGAAGTGGCATCAAGTTTTAGCAGTTTTAGGAGTTATATTTTGTCATTTTTCAAAAATGGACTTAGCATGAGCAGAAGATGAGACAGAAGACCATGGAGAATATTGTTTTTCCACACAAGGCAGCTGATGGCTCCATATAAGGTCAGAGAAATGCGTGTTTGTTTGTCCTGCGGAGTGGGGCCCAGTCTGTTTACATTCACACTGTACTCGAACCGCACTGGAGTTCTCTTCTACCGGACCGAGACCTAGGTTTTAGCCCGGGCCAGAGTTCGCCTTTTTGTTCCGTGACAGAGTTCGATGGTACATTCACACCTCCCCAAACGAACCGGACTTTCTAGTAAAATGAGCTAGAGTTCGATTAAAGCGGACTAAACAGGGCTGGTGTGAATGCACCCTTAAGCGCAGAGGTGACAGGGCCTTCTCTGTAGCAGGACCAAGACTTTGGAACGAGTTACCTCTGCTTGTCAGACTGGCCCCCTTCCTTTCGGTTTTCAAATCCCATTTAAAACCTCGCTACTATTCAGTAGCTTTCAACACCAGATGATCTGTGTTGTGAACCTGTTTGCTCCACACTGGTTTGTCATCATATTTATTATCTGCATCGTTTTTATGTCTATATTTTTGATTTACTCATTTTGTATATTGCTTTGTGTGTTACCTGTTGTTCTGTCTTTACAGCACTTTGGTTGGCCTTGTAGATGTTTTAATTGCTCTATAAATAAAATAGTATGGTATGGTATGGTATATTTCCATACGCCCATCATCTTTACCCACTTGCTCCTTTTCGGGTCATGGGGGTCACTGGTGCCCATGTCCAGTCATTACTGTGGGAGAGGCGTGGGACACCCTCAACAGGTCTCCAGTCCATCACAGGGACACATAGAGACAAACGAGACAAACAACCATTCACTCTCGTTCTCTCTCTCTCTCACCTAGGGACAATTTAGAGTTACCGTTATCTATGTTTCTAACATACATGTTTTTGGTCTGTGGGAGGAAACTGGAGTACCTGGAGAAAACCCACACATGCACGGAGAGAACATACAAACTCCACCTGGAAAGGTCCCGGGCCAGGATTTGGACCGGGGTAACCTGCTCGCTGAGAGGCAGCAGCTCTACCAACTGCACCACCATGCCACCCTGATGTGAAGTGATTTACATGAAAACTTTCGGAATCAGTGACCATGCACACCGTGCCCGTTTCTGTCCACTCTTTTATGATTTTTGAATTTGACATGAAGGGTGCAAATCAGCTCTGACCTTTTCAGTTGTTTTTGATTTGTCTGTGTAATTATTGCTTTCTATCGATCATGTAATCAAAATAAAGAAAATAATTTATTCAACACTGAACCTTTGTCATCCCCCCAGGACAGCATATGGCAGCTCCCAGTCCAAAGCTCCCATGAATCTTTGCACTCAGGCCAGCAGAGGACTCACCGTGGTCAGCCCTTCCTCTGCTCCTCTGGGGGCCGTTGTTCAAGGACCTGACTTCAACAAACCCCTCGCTGTGTCCTCCACTGCTGGACCTGCCTCCCCCCAGCCTGCAGCTGTGGTCACAGCAGCTCAGACCGCCACAGGCCAGCAGCCAAAAGTGCCCATGCACGTCAGCTCCCAGATGACTGTGAATCAAGCTCGCAATGCAGTCAGAACAGGTAATTATTTTTTTGCATTGACTTCCACTCATTTTTTTTAATTAATTTCTATAGCCTAACCCTGACCCATATTAGACACACACACATGCACGCACATACACACACCCAATGTAGCAAGAAAAAGTCTAGACAAAGTTTTGGGATGAAGAAGTGATTTTGACAACATGATGTCAAAGCTTAACTTGCTCATTCAGCTGAATTGCAGTTAGCACAGCTGATGAGCGCTGCTGCCTGAATGTGTATTTCATGATTGAAGTGCAAAGCACATCTCTGCCTTTTCTGTGGTGCAAGGGTGAAAGACATTTTTCTAAAATTAGTTTTAAAAAATACAATAATAACTTATCCTGATGCATGCTCAATAATCCAGGTAGAAAAATCCAAAAAAGTTCAGTCTGGTCCTCTGGACATTCAAAAAAAACAACACAAAGCAAAAAAATATATAGGAACGTTTCGTCTCTCATCCAAGAGACTTCCTCAGTCTGAGGTGCTGTTTTCAGCT